GCCCTCCATATTTAAGAAGGAAATAAAGAGGCTCATCCCATAAAAAAAAAAAAACATTAAGAAAAAACGTGAAGTTCAAAATAAATTCTCAACATGTAGAAGCCCTTTCATTGAAAACTTGTGCAGAATATAAAAGACGCAGGTGTTTCTGCAAGCGAATACTGTTTCTGTAAACTTGCGCCTCAGGAAAGGTTTCCGGTTAATCTTCATCACCATAATTGAACTTGACTGAGTGTGACTGCTGATCAATCTGCCCTCCTCTGTATGACCCACGCTTCTTCTTAGTCTTTTCATGACGAAAATCCCTGCGTAAGATAGAGATTTAGGTTCTACACATTCAATTGAAAGCATAATTAAGAAACAAGTGTCTAGTGAGCACAATGCATTTTAGTGCGTGCATGCGCATGTAGGTGTTGTGTTACAGGACAATCAGCTGAGAACATTTTAATTTACTGACCCCCCTTCCATTCTTCATCCAAGATGATTCCCAAGAATACCATTCCATTATGTATGCTAGTGTTTCCGTTAAAGAGACCAATATGGGGGGTTTCTGTTCAAGTGAATAAAGACACAAGCGGCATTTAAACTTAACTTTTATCACAAGTCAGGTAGATGGCCCTTTTTTCACTATGAAATATAACCCCATTCTAAAGCCATCATCTTAGATGATCAATCTCTACCCAATTAACACCCATATAACTGTCAGTCAACCAATAACTTTTGCACAGCTTGACTCCAACTTACATCAAATAACTCTTTCTAACCAATACATTTGAAGCCTTTCACTAAACATGACCAAACCATCTCAAACAATTCTTCTTCATAACATTTTGTCTAGGATTGGTGGCATCCCCACCTAATCGTAGATATATTGATTGTTAATCTTTTGTCACTCATTCATATATTGCAACTACACTTGGCACAACTCAGTTCAATGGGCATATTGGTTTGACCTTTTCCAGTGATGTGCATTTTTTTATAATTACCCAACATTTTTGTGCCACCAAAAATAGTAGGCCTTGTAGCAATCAAAGAACTAGTCAAGTTTCATAGGAGTTGTATAATCATGAAATACTTTGTATCACTACTTTTACTTTATTTGTGCAAAGGGAAAAGCAAGATGATAATAAAAGAGCATGAAAAACACTTTGAAATACAACAATGTCTTTAGTTAACATTAACAAACAAGTGGCAATCAGTATACACACCTTCCTCTAACTTGCCCAAGAACTTCCTGTGCTTTTGCACCGTAGCCAATCTCTGCACCATCCTGCACAGAATTGAGAGTGAGAAAATTAGTGGACACACAAATAAATACAGGGTGGAAGAAAAAATACAGAAGCCAACCAGTCTCACACCTTTGCCCAGTAAGAATTATCCCGAAGCTTCTCGTCTACGAATTCCACCTCCTCAGCTTTTACCCTTTGAAATGCCTTAAAAGCCGTTGGCTGCAATAACAGCATTTATAAACATTATTTAAACCTTTAAGCTACATCCGTATCGTGCAAAAAGAGAGAATAGAGAAAGGCAACATACATCACTCCAACAACAACATCATCAAGCACTGCATACAAAACCCATGCATACGTATAAAGCACAACAGTTTAGAAGTTTCACAATAAAAACCTCCTTTGAAATGGCTTAGATCCAAAAAAAACATGAAAAAGGAAAAGTACATTTGACATGCCATGTAGCAACCAGAGTCTCAAAAGACGCCGCATGAATCACTCACATCTTAAATAGTTAATCGTTACAAAAATCATTAAAAACTTCACTTCCCTAACCATCTTACATTACACTTTCAATAAGACCATCTACATCAAGTCATAAAACCCCGGGACCTTTCAAAACCATAAAATCAATACATTATTAAGTGTTGCATGTAATAGATAAAACAAAATATACCAAACTTCCTTCGTCTTAGCGTTACTTGTTATATAATTGGGTGATAGCATATATGGCAGCTCTAAAAAGGGCTAAGGCCCAACAGAGATTCCCAAGGGGACATACCATTGAAATAGATTTTGTCCAATATACAAGATAGTTGAATGATGGACATAAGGATGTGCTTTTTCTGACCATCAAGGAATCTTGAATAAATATGGATGTGTTTTTTCAATGCAGAAATGATTAGTAAAAATCTAACCCTTCTCAAATTTTGACAACTCCTAACATACTGTCAGGTCATAGTAAACATGTATTTAAGCATTTTTATGATAGGAATAGATTGATTTCTTTTAGTCAGATATATTATAAATAAGATCACAGCTTTTACAAATAAATGGTGTTTCACATATAATTCATGTAGCAAATTGGCAAATAAGGAGCAGTAGAAATCCATACAGAGGGGATACAACTTCTAATCTCAAATAGTTCACTAGCATGCTTTCTCATACACATAAAGATCGAGGAAGTACCTCATCAGAACCATCGCGCTGGTTCTTCACGCTTTTCTTTATCGAAGACTTCTCAGCACTTTTCTCTAGGTTCCCATTTGCCTGGCCATCAAGCTGCGTAACAGAAGCCTTTTGAAACACATCTGGACCAACTTGACCACTTTCCCCTCTACTATCTTTACCAGCATTTTCAGCTTTTCCTAGGGACGCATCACTATTTGCTGGTTGCTCACTTCCCTTGGATGCTTTTAAACTCTCTACCTTTCTGCGCTTGGATTCTTCATCTTCTCTGTTGTCAGCAGGCTGCGAATCATTTCCTTCAGACTCTAATCTTTTTCTTTTCTTGGACCTTTTACTATCCTTACCGGTAGCATCCACATCTGATATCTTCAAATTATCTTTTGTAGAACTAGTTCCATTTGTATCTCCTATACCAAGCACCTTCACATCCTCACCATCTAGACTTTCAGAAACCAAACCATCTTTCTTTTTCTTCTTACCATTATTAGGTTTGACACTCTTCTCATCCACTGGAATTTCATCAGCAGTTGATTTACCAATTCCATTTGCATCAACAGAATCAGAACTTGACTTGTTCTTCTTTTTCTTCTTATCCTTCGGTTTCTTCTCCGTCTCAGAATCAGAAGCAAGTGAATCAGAAGCTACCTTAGATTTCTTTTTCTTTTTCTCCATGCAATTCTTTTCAGTCTCCTCCAACAATTTTTCAGGCTCCTTTACGTCTACTGTGCAGAATTGACAAGTCTAACATAAGAACTTATGTAAAAAAATAATAAAGATATAACTATATCCTGCTCATGCACACACATTCCCATACGAGAGAGAGAGAGAGAGAGAGAGAGAGAGAGAGAGAGAGAGAGAATTCTCATTAGATCATGCATATCAAACATATTTATAAATTCATGCATACCTTTCTTCTTCTGGCTGTTGACATTTGTGACTCCATTATGACTACATAACAGAGAAGCACAAGTACAATTAGAATAGAAACTGAAAGTTAATGATTAACTAAACAGCAGCATGAATGAACCACCAAATGCATTGAGTATTATGGTGGTCTTCCAGACAGCATTGAGACTCTTTGCATTGGATTTCATGCCAGTGATTGTCATCAACAGAATTCTAGGATGTTGAACAAAAAACCTATGATAATCATCTAAATTACGAGTCCCCGACAACTTTTGTTTTAAAGATAATCCTGTAATTTAGAACCACTTAACGAATTAGCAAAATCTATCACAGTAGTGATAACAATTGATGTCATACTATAGAGAACACTACATAATCATCGGATCACAAATAACTATATCAGGAAAGATGAGCATAACAGTACCAATGTTGCTACCTCCACATCGTTGAACTTACAAAAATCAGAAAACAAAAGTTTTAGAAATTTATGCTGCCCAACAAAAACTGTCATCTGGAGTCAAAATACTGAGTCATGCCCTTATTCAGAAAAAAAAATAATAATAACAAACTGACACCCAAAAAGCATGGAAGTGAGTAGATTGAGTAAAGATTTAAAGAATTACTTCCAACTTATTGAAGATGATGTTACAATTGATGACCATCTTGATTTAAATTCTTTAAGAGACAAAAAGAAAGTTAAAAGAATTATCAACTTACCACATCAACTTGCAGTACATTTCTTCCAAATCCAGTGAAGATTCCTTCAGTCCGCTTTTCTGCAAAAGGGTCAATAACCAATTTTGTAATAAATTCAGTATCAATCAATTTATACTCTCTAATTTCGTTAACAAATTTCCCAGCTCCATCTTCTGAGACAATTTTACAAACTCATTACTATTTAATCATAATATATATGGACCAGCACAAAAAAAAAAACATCATATAGATATGAACTGAACTATATTGGCAACTTAAACCTCTACAATGGAAATAACAGAAGGTCCAAAACAAACGGAAGGAATGATAAGGAGGAATCCTACAATCATTTAGGGTCTATTTGGTTTTCAAAAATTGTGTCTTTTAGAACTTCAGAGAACGCATCAAAATAAATTCCATTATGCTCTGCATTTTCCTCTGTTTTCTAGGCAACCAAACAGAAAATAGACAGCTGCCCACCTCGATTTGAGCTTCGGACCGGAACTTTTTCAGGGTTTTGGAGAATCCATTGCTCTCCAGGAAACGAGCCACAGCATGGAGGAGTGGACCCTTTTGGCCGGGACTTAGAGTTTGGGTGCTGTCGCTGGAGATATTGGGCTTACTGTGCTTCATATTTTCTAGGTTTGCGAGCTGAACTTGGCGAGGCCTGAAGGCGAGAAGGGTGGGGTTGATAGTGTCCTGCGTGCTTGTTAGGGACTTGGGCATGCGAGGCTTCTGAGCTCTGAGCTTATTTGGAGGGAGAAAGCTCCAACTCCAAGAGAGGGTTTAGGAGGAATTAGGGTTTATTTTGTGGCAGTGAAATTAATATTCGGGCCCGAAATTTCGTAAAATTACGAACACTAACATTTTATTTGTTATTAGTATTACACGGAGGAGAAGGAGAAAATAATTATTCATATTAAAAAATTATATTTTTCTCAAATTTCTGTAATTGTTAGGTGTCGTTACCTTATTGGTCATAAACATGCATTTCACTTTTATCTCTTTATACTTATCGCACTCGATTATAGTCTCCTAAAACCCTAAATTCTATTTCTTCGCTCCTTACATATCATCTCTCTACCTGCAGCCGCACAACACCTCCTTTGTCTTTTAAACTCTTCTTCTTCTTCCTCTCTTCACACCAGTTTTGCAGAGATGGGCGAAGAAGTGAAGGCAGGGCCAGTGGTTCCAGAATCAGTGTTGAAGAAGAGAAAGAGAGAGGAGCAATGGGCTCTTGCCAAAAAGCAAGGCCTTGAATCTGCAAAGAAGAAGAACTCCGAAAACCGCAAGTTGATTTACAACCGGGCCAAGCAGTATGCCAAGGAGTATGATGAACAGGTACATATACAATACCCCATCGTTGACTATTGTTCAAATCTTCTTTTTTATTTGTCGGTCTTGAACTTGATGTTTGGATTTGGATTGGGCTCTGATGGTTTGGTTTTCCTGAAATTTATTTGTCAGCAAAAGGAGTTGATTAGTTTGAAGCGTGAGGCGAAGCTGAAGGGTGGATTTTATGTCAACCCAGAGGCCAAGCTGTTGTTCATTGTCAGGATTCGTGGGTATGTATGCATTTTGTGACATTGGCTATGGATTCTTCTACTTGGTGTCTCTTTGGTTGAGTGTTTGTTGATTATGATTTTTGTCTTCTTGGGTTTTTATTTTTTGAAACGTTCAGAATCAATGCCATTGACCCAAAAACTAAGAAGATTTTGCAACTTCTGCGTTTGAGACAGGTAACACCTCAATTGAAGTTTCATTTTTCTGAAATGGGTAATTAAATTAGGCTAATTAAAATTCATGTGATAGTTAAATTATCTGATTTTTCATTCCTTTTTTCTGATTGTTGTAGATATTCAATGGTGTCTTCTTGAAAGTAAACAAGGCCACATTGAACATGTTGCATAGGGTTGAACCCTATGTGACTTATGGGTATGCATTTTTCTTTTTTGGAGCTTCATAGACTGGTGATGGTTATTTCCAGGTTTTTTTGTTTATATATTTAATTTTTCTGTTAATATATATTATGCTATGGACTTCAGGTATCCTAATTTGAAGAGTGTCAAAGAACTAATCTACAAGAGGGGTTATGGGAAACTTAACAAACAGAGAACCGCTTTGACTGACAATTCAATTGTTGAACAGGTTTGTTAACAGAGTATATGATTAGTAAATTAAATAATATCTGGATCAAGTTTTCCTTTAACACATTTGCATCTATTCACTGACATGTTTGTGAAATCACAGGCTTTGGGCAAGTTTGGAATTATCTGCGTGGAGGACCTCATCCATGAGATTTTGACTGTTGGACCTCACTTCAAGGAGGCAAATAACTTTCTCTGGCCATTTAAGCTCAAGGCACCCCTGGGTGGTCTAAAGAAGAAGAGAAACCACTATGTCGAAGGTGGTGATGCTGGAAACCGTGAAGATTACATCAACGAGCTCATCAGGAGGATGAATTAGGTTTATGCAAGATATTGATATTTTTGTTTTCCAGATTGAGGTGTTTACTTTCTTTTATCTTGTCAATCAACTTTATCGGACTTTTAGTTCCCCTATTTCATTGTTAAATTTAAGTCGTATCTTTACAAATGGTTTTCCTTGTCAGTCTTATTGATTTTCCTTTCCCTGAAATGGTGTGGGATGCAAATTTCAAAGCACTGGAGTCTCCGTATTAGTCATTTGAAACAGTGAAAGCATTTCAATTGATTACTTGCTCTGTTTGCCTACCCTTTCGAATGGTTGATATCAGCATTATACTATGTACGACATAGCAGTCTTTATTTTAACAGGAGTGGGAGACTCTCTCGTTATTGAGTTGGTATGAAATGCCAAGTTTCATTCTGACCTAATGCTAATGGTCTTTTGAGATTGTTTCTGCAGCTGTATGTGTTATATGACAATTGTGGTGAAATGCGTTCAAAAACCGCACACTTAAGCTGCCCCAACATATTCTTGCAGCCTCTAATGAGGGATTGGTGTATAATACATCTCCTTTCTTAGGGTTGGCTTTAAAACATGTAATTCTTTTTTGGTTACAATGGAAGGGAATCAAACACTTAACCTAGTCTAATCTTAGTCGACCCCATCATTTTCACCCCTTACTCTAATCCAAATTCTACGAGACTATTTTATCCCACACCAATAGCTAAAGCTCCAAGTGTTGAAAATAATTGCATCAATACGACGTAATATGGGGGTCATCATGTATTCGAGTTTCCCTACTTTAAGAGCATCTTCAATATAGTAGCAAACTAACTCTTCAAATTAAAGTTTGTTGACCTATGTGACAATTTGAAAAGGTTTATTTGTTACTTTAATCATTTATGCCCCAACATACTCTTCAATTTAATTAATGTCATCTTATGGAAAATAATAAAAATTTGAAAACATGTAAAGAATGTGCATGTATTTATTACCTGAAAAGAAAAAGTGCATGTTTTTAACATTTTCAAGGTAGATTTTGTTTTTTCATAGTAAAATGAAATATTTTGAAAACCACTGCTCAACTTAGTAGTTCTGAAGAGAGAGAAATAGGTTGCATCTTTGATGACTGAGTTTGACAATTGTGTTGGACAGAGTTTTGATAATGTGACTCACCTATTTAAGCATTCCAATATTACTAAAGAGGCTGTTGATGCTCTAATATCACTGATATAAAGTAAAAACAAAACCCTTCATATATATATATATATATATATATATATATA